CAGCCTCCCTCCATGAAGTTCTCTTGTGGCTATACCACTAAGGCCTTGAGGCACTGCAGAGTCCTTTCTCATGTGTCCCTTAGATGATTTACAATTCCCCCTGTTGCCAGGTTTTGCTTGGGTATCTCTGTTCCTGGTTCACCTATGATAAAATCTGCAGGTTACCCTAGAGACCTTGTGGCTCCTGCTCTGGAAGTTCACACAGTCAGCACAGTCCATTCTCTCACTGAAAGACAAGGTGCAACCCTGCACATACACCAAATCACCACTACAGCACATCACACACCAACATACAAACACCAAATATAAAGCTGCAAAGGATGCCTGATCTGGCTATCTCCACATCTAATACTGACTAAATCTCCATAGGTCACCCAGAGATGTGACCCTTCCCACTCTGCTATCTTTCCTTCAGGAAAAGATAAACATGACTGAGAGGGACAGGATCCAAGAGAGATGATTACCTGTATCCTGTCTTCTGGCAACTCTGTTTTCATGGCCAACATCTCTCTAGCATACACGTCAGGATAGTGGGCCTCATTGAAGGCCTTTTCCAGCTCCTCCAGTTGGTAGGATGTGAAGATAGTCCTGAGAAGAATAAAACTCTTTGGTCAAAAAAAAAAAAAGAACATAAGAGGAAGAACTAAAGGCATCAAAGAATGAAAAAGGACACAAAAGTGAAAGAAACCTGGATAGCCTGGTAACACACAGCACTTCCCCCCACACACACCTGTCTCTTATGTTTCAGTGCACAAAAAGTCAAGTCCGGAGGTGAATGAAGAACCCAAAAATGCCCAAAGATTGCAGCTTGTATAGTCACAATTCACATTCGCTTTCAGGGACTTCCTTGTGGCAACAGTTCCCACCACCTCCCACCCTGCAGCTACCACCTTCCCTCATCCCTGACCTGACAAACCACCCCCACCCTGTCCTGCATCCAAAGGTTTCTTAACCCTTTGCTCATCACACTGAGATGAAACAGCCACTGCCAGCACCCGCTTTGGGGACGCACTGATCCCTTCCCCGACTGCTGGTCAGCAGCCTCCTTGCATGCAAAGCAAAGGTCCTCTCAAGAGCCCTGCTCATCAATCAATTCCTCCACAGGATTTATCCCTTCTGCTCCCTACCACTTTTAGCCAGACCTTTCCCCCTAGTGTAGCCCTTACGGTCAGAGCCCAGGGGCTGCTCCCTCCCGGATATCCCGCTAGCTGCTCTCTGCCAGTTTGCATCACCCCCTTGTCCCCTAGGAATCCTCCCAGCCACCTCGCAAGGGCAGCCGCCCAGCCCGCCACTGCACTGCCAGGTCTCAGCTTGGGACAGCCAGATTGAAAACCCAGCAGCTGGAAAGCTGAGACGGATGAAAACCCATCTCCAGGGCATGCAGGAGAGGTCGCAGAATCTCCCGAGTGTTAAATCTCCCACCTTCAAAGCTCCTGGCATGCAAAACACCATTAACAAAAAAAAAAAAAAAAGACACACTCTAATGGTAAAAAAGAACAACAGAACAACAGAAACTACAACCTTTGTTCATACTGTAAATATATTACCAAACTAAGAAACACGTAGCTCCCAGAAGAGGGTAGGAAAGGGGAGGGAAAAAGGCCTTTACAAAATAAAACAGAATTTCATAAAAGCCATAAAATTCCAGATGGGGTGATTAGAAAGTCTCAAAATATCTTCTGCTATTCTAAATCTAACAAATTCTGCCAGATTGATCACGTTACTAACAAAGGGAGCATGCAAATGCCAGGGAGCTGCCTGTCATCAGATTCATATTAAAAACAAAATAAAGCAAAAACCAATATATATAAAAAACACTTTTATATCCATTTTCTTTTCAAACAGTCTTCCGTCAGCTCTATAAATCTGTAAGATCTTAGAACAGCAGAAATCCGTTAGCAGAACAGCAGAAATCCGTTAGCTCATGCTTTTTCTCTCTGGGATCACAAGAAAGATTATTCCAAATTTTATCTACCTTAGATTTTAGGCATCTACTCTCACTTTGCTCCGGCAAGGGCTCCAAAGCCCAGCAGTGCTCACTGACAGGAGGCTTTTCCCTGATGGTCAGCTTAAGTTTTCCCTCTGTAGGTGCCCTATCTGTCCCTTTTGCAGAACACAATACACTTTCTCTTTTGGTGTTTACATCCTGCAGATATTTGCAGACTCTTGGCCTCTCATCCCCACTCAATAAAACCAGGGCTCTTAGCCATTTATTACAGAAAACAAAACAACTACATGTTACACTTTTTTTGCTGTCTAAAATGAAAAATTAAAGTAAATGACATTTCCTCTCTCTCATCTAAATTGTGATCTTCTCACCAGTCCCTGTTGAGTTTGTACCAGCCTTGAGCCCAGTCCACAAAAAAAGAATCCTTATTTACTAATACATATTTACAGAGCAACCAGACTGAGACCGTTTGCCTTGGGAGGGACCCCTGAGCAGGGACAAGCACCCCAGACCCAGCCTCTTGTTGCACAAATAGTGGGATGTCTCCTGGGATAGTCCATCTCCTTCTACCTTGCATCCTGCTAAGCTTTCACTGGGGCATCTTTTAATCCACCCTTGCTGCATCGTGGCAGGATTGATTTAATTATTGCTAAATCGCCCGGTGGATGGTGCCTGGCCTTCCTTTGTCCTGGCTCTCCGGCCACAGCAGTGCCAGAACCCGGCACCACATTTTTCGCTTCTGTTTGTAAAGCACAAGCAGCTGAACTCCATTTTAACGGGAGGAGAAGTCACACAAAGTACATTCCCAACCTGCTCCCGAGAGGAAACCAAATGCCCTTAGTATCTCCCAAAGTGGGGCTTATTTTTCTCTTAAGCAACTTGGCAGCCGTCCTCAGCTTCTCTGCAGGCTGCGTCTGTTTCTCAACTAATTAATCAGTTGCTCAAACATTTATTTATAAGTAATAAAATATTTAAATCATCGATAGAAAATGTCCCTTGCTGATAGCTAGTATTAAGATCGCTATAATGCAGAGCAGGGGAGAGTTTTGATTATTTAATTGCTTCTCTTTGGGACAGGTTATTATTTTTCTCCCCTCTGAACACTGTAGTCTGAGTCCAGCCTGAATGCTCCCCGGCGGCTTTGAGGCTCGGGGTATGTGGATCCGCAGCCAGAAAAAAAATAATAAAAATAAGTGACACCTGTGGCAAGTCCCCTTACTTATGGTCACGTCCCAAACGCGAATTATTCTGCCCGGGGAGGAAGGAAAAGGGGCAGAGCCCGGAGAAGCCACAGGGACGCCGGGTCCCCGGGCTGCCCACCGGGCGCGGGGCCGAGCGGGGACCGAGCGCGGGGCCGCCGGTGCCGGTGGGGCCGCAGGGCCCCGCTTACCTGTGCCGC